ATAAGTAAATTTTTATTCTGATTTTACGCATATCACCTTGGAATTGAATCATAAAACTAATAGGTAATGATGCCCTGTGAAGCGCGCCTGCTAGGAGTGCAGACATGATGAGGCCATGACGATTTGTACATCACGAAACCGTCACTTGTACAAGCGTCACGTGGTCAGAGCTTCCGACGCACTTTAATCTTTCAGTTTCGGAATCGGAGAATATAAAGGGGAGAAATTGTCGACGGATATCTCGGAGCCAGTGGCTCCTTTTAAATTACGTAAGTTGGTCTAGCCTTCCAGGGCTGCTGTCTTCAAAATAACGAGTGCAACATGGCCCATAAAATTAATAATTAAAAAGTTTATTAACAAAGTTTGGATAATTACACACCAGACTCTGACGGTTGTTCGCCCCTCGAGGGTCCGCCGAGCTCAACAAACATATAGTGAAGACGGCATTCACGTTGTAGTAAAGACGTCTTTTTCTCAAATCTGTTTCGAATAAAAAATATCACCTGGTATATCGGCCCACAAATACAGTCGGCATTGTGGCATAGTTCATGGCAAAGCGACATGCTCAGTGCCGCAGCAGACACTACTCTCTTGAGGTCAAAACATAAGTTCAGCATCGTCGTTGACTTAATTCTCTTTATGGATTACGACATTAGGGCTCTACCAAGTGATTGGCTGAAAGTCGGATGCTCCAGGTATTAAACTGGAATTTGCAGAAAAACCCACGGCAGATGAGGAAAGACGATTTGGATTTAAATTCAGCTTAATATGCAATGGATTGTTGTGACAAAATGCAAGACGTTCGAGACCAAAGGCGTCGCTTTGAATGACCTTCCACGATTGGCCAGACGCTCACTATGACGTTTTTAGTTGTGTTATTTCTGCTCTCATTGAATAAAATAAGCGCCGTTCACACACTTTCAACCGGGTAGGACGGAGAGAGACAAGGCCGGTTTTTAAGCCTCTTGCGACGTCTTAGGACAAGCTCCGCAGGAGCGCGTCCGGTCGTAAGACGTCGCAAGAGGCTTAAGGCTCGTTCACACACTTGTTACCGAGTACGACTGAGAGAGACAAGACAGGTCTTTAAGCCTCTTGCGAAGACTTAGGACCGGGTGCGTTGCTGCGGAGCTGGTCCTAAGGCGTCGTAAGGGGCTTAAAAACCGGTCTTGTCCCTCTTCGTCCTACGCGGTCAAGTGTGTGAACGGTGCTTTAAAAATCGGTCTTGTCTCTCTCGGTTGTTCTAGGTTAAAAGTGTGTGAATAGCAGTGTCAGACTCTGAACTCTAACGGTTTTGATTTAGGAACGTGATGACTTGGACTCCACCACGTTTTTTATGCACCATCGAACTTGTTGCTCGCTTCTATTAATCTTTGTCGTGACGTCAGGAATAGGAACCATAAAAGGACGCCACCAAAGCATCTGTGCGGCAATCGGCTTGACTGAAGGATCGAACATCGGAGGAAGACTGCTTAAAATCAATAAGCTAGTGTGCGTTCTATTTTTGTTTTTTATGCTCGCGTTATGATGGAAAATATTTGAGATGAATACACACTTTAGGTTGCGAGACTTTGCGCGAACATACTAGTTTAGGTAGTGAAAGGTAAAACGGGAGAGTTCGTGTTACCTTCTGTTTGAGCTAAGTGCGATCCCACCTTGGCAACGCCAGCCCCAAGAAGGAATAGCTACATTATATTCACGCGTTGAAGTAACAGATACAGTCAGTGACTACGCCAACGTCGAATGGCCACCGCCTAAGTTGACGTCAGATTACACACCGTAGGCATTCATAAAAGTGGAAGCCTCCGGGAAAGAAATATCTAACAATTGCATTATAATCTTTTTGTAAACCGACAAGCTTCTTGAGCAAGCACCGTTTCCAAGGTCGTGAAATTTGCCCACGGGAGGTATTTAAAAAATAAGGCTCCTTTAAAAACATGTGTGACGACAGCCTTCAAGTCGTCGATTCTCTTATACTTATATGTATGTAATACAAAAATTGCGCAACTATTAAGAAGTTTTGAAAATCCCTGATCCGTCTATTTGGCGTTGTTTTCAAATAAAAATTTATGAAGACTGTGTACCGCCTGTTTACATTTTTTTTTTTTATTTAGTAAACGTTCAGGGAGCTCATGCGTCTACATCATTTGTGGCAATTTTAGTTGTGCTTGAAGTTCGCGAAGGCAAACTTTACTGCCGCTTAACACACTCCCAACGCATCGTCCCTTCTGGGCCCGGGTTAGAGTTCCAACTAACGCACCTTGGTCGATAGCCGCAGAAGCAAGAAAAAAAAAACACTCTTTTAACGAGGACTACTCTTAGAGTACACTTTATGAGGCTTATATATATAACAGCGAGGTGCTTCTAAGCATTACCACGCTTCATTAGCAATGCAAATTACCCAAGAAAACAAGACAAAAAATACGTGTGTGTACCCCTAAGTGATTGATGATGGCTTAGAGCAGAGAGCACAACCATGAAAACGGAAAAAAGGAAAGTAAAGCTCAGTTTGTCTTTTTTTAAGATGACTCAATCACAATGTTTCAGCATGCCGCTTACTTGGGGCCTTGGGACTACAGCGCAACTCAGTGGTACGAGGAGAACGAGTGTATATACTGCAAATGTCAAAAAGGAGAATCGCGGCTTGACTACATTCCCCACATTCCTGATCCCCAGTATCGTCGTTCGAACACTGCCCGCTTGGATCGCCCGATCCGATCAAAGGTGCGCTGAGGGAAAGAAACAAAGCGGAAGTATGCGGGACACTCGCCCTTTGGCGGCATTGCAGCGAGACAACACCTCTGTACTTAGCCGGAGTAGCTGAAGGCTCTACACCGCTTCACCTTTATGATGCACCGCAGCGGACTCCACGAGCCACCTGAGCCAATCCATGGCTCGGAGAGTGTCACGTGACCCCCCGGTTGGGCGGAGCGACACCCTGAGCGTGAAGTCACGTGGCACGCGCAGAGCGTTTGATTAGCTAAGACGGCCCGCAGGGCCCGCTGTAGTACATCGTCGGGTGAAATGAAGCATATAAAGACTCGGCTTGAGAAACGCGTGCCCGTGGCCCTGCCAAGGCTTCCTCCGTCCAGCATTAAGACGGGAGACGCCGTGCGTTTCAGGTGTGTGCGCGCGCCACGGTTTAAATAAATAGGTTATCGACCGGACCCGCTGTCGCCCGCCAAACTCAGCGGGAAGCCATCAGTTGCCTCCTGGGTGGTCTCTCTTTCCTCCCTCGGCACGCCGGAGGCATCTTTTCGGTGGACCCATGACTCCGAGCCGTTGTTGACGACAGTCTCCTGCTGCTTTTGTGCGCCTCCTACTCCTCTGACACGTGTTTCGACGCCGCGGCATTGTGCTCCGCTGTCGATAGCGTGTCGAGGATGGCGGCATGACGAACGGCGCTTGGGAGAGTTTCTTCTTTGCAGGAGCAGGCGCGATGCGTCGATAGCGCCGGCCGCGAAGGAAGTGCTTCTGGCGGTTTCTGGGGAGTCCTCGCTGGGGCTCGTTGAAGGGAGAGTTCTTCATCACGTTGCGTCGTCCTATTGTCGTCTCCTTTGGCACCGTCTGGAAGACAGATAGTTTCTATTGGGTACAAGAGTTGTTGGGTACGGGCTTTTTTTTTTAGGTATATCCGTAGGTTCTTATCGCGCTTTTCAAGTTAGGAACTCGAATAACTCACAATAGAAACTGCTTTTTTTGTTTTGTTTTTTATGGAGGCAGTACAACATCTTTCCACACTAACATACGAAGCAGAGTAGAGCCGAATAATATTAGTATAGTTCACCTTTACAGGTACCTAATTTTACACCTATTGGGCAAGGAGATCGAATCATAGGAGGCGCTTTATCAAGCGTGTTGTCCCAACAGCCTGGTGTTTACTAACACGTCATAACAAAGAAATTGAACCTCGCATAGCACGGTCTGGGCACGAGCGCTTCGCTCTGACCAGGAGCGCCCTTCAAATCGTCATCTTCAATTTGGTGGATCAAAAACAAACAAGCAAAATACTATGTGTTGTCTTCACAGCTGAAGTGTAGCGCTAGAGGGGTGCTTGTTCGATCTCCTCACCAATAGCCAGGAATACTACGAAATGTGCCCACAGGGAGGGGGAATGCTTGCGCGGAACTGCGCTCCGACAAGAAAGCGATATCCAGAAACACGCCCAAGTTGAGCATTTTTTCTAAACGCCGTAAAATATCGCGCGTGCATTATTTCATTCTAATGTGGGTGTATTTAGTAGTTTTTGATGACACCTGGCAGCACTGCTATTGAAACTGCGTATTAAAAAAACAATGTTTAACAATTCAGTCACTCAAAATGAATTAATTAACCAATTCTACCACAGGCTAGCAGTATTCGTTTTTGGCACCTCGGACACAGTCCAGAACAGAATTAACACTTACTTCTGCGCGATGTGTAGTTTTCGCAGGAGCGATTTGGCCAACGACTCCAAAAACACCCTCGATATTATGAATGCATGAGACAAATATCAAATATCTCTTTTAAAATTCAGAAGTCACATATATGGAGGTCGACATTACATGCAAACCACTTTCATCGCGACACGCCTAAAGCCATGCTCGCACTACTAATCCATCGTGCATAAACACGCTGCAGGCATGCTCGAAGCAGGCATAAGTATGGAGCGAGCATGCTTCGAATATGCTCGAGGCGTGCCCCCAGTTAATTCCGTCTTAATATCTGCATTGATCACCCTGTCTTTGTTTGACGCATGAACAGTGCGACTGCGGCTTAATGGCCGACCACCTGCAGACTCGCGATACTGCAAGGCAGAAGATCATCCTCACGACGGGGAGGAGGAAATAGGCAACGGTGGACAGGATAGAGCGGGGGAGAGGAGGAAGCGAGGCGAAAGAGGAAAACGCGAACTGGTCCTCAATCTTAAAAAAACAAGCTTTTTTTTTTGTTGAAGCAAATTGGGTTCGGGCTTATCAATAACATTATTAACTTTCTCTCTCTCTTTCCTTTCACTGTTGCAGCGCCGCCGTCCACGTTCCACTTCAACTACACCAAGTCTAGTTCGGATCGGGCGACGCTGCTGTGCGAGGTGGACGGCGCTTTCCCGATGCCCCACCTCAAGATGTACCGGCTCCTGGTGGACTCCGAGGACGACCAGGCGGAGCTGGTCAACGTCCAACTGACCACAGAGCGGAAGGAAGGCTACTACCGAGCCGTCATGACTAGCGAGGTGATGGACAACGCCCTGCCGCAGGACGAGGCCACCGTCTTCCTCTGCAGCTACTCCTTCAAGGAGATCAAGTACCAGAGGCTTAAGAGGCTCACCTACATGCCTGGTGAGAGAAAGCACGTCACTTCGATTTTGCGTGTTGTTTTACCATTCGCATGTATTTTGGCAAGTGTTTCTTGTCTACACGCGAGAATGACTGAACTAACTGCCGATTACACACGAAGTGCTGGAGTTTGTGTTTCTGGTGACTGTTATACGAAAACTGTTTTGGTGTAACCTCCCCCCCCCCCCCCCAAAAAAAAAAAAAGGAAACAAAATTGCGATTCTGGACGGGTTTGTTTTCATTGATACGTTTGAATAATACAAATGTTCTATACAGCGTCGTTAGACCCCAAATCAAACCGAAATTAACCGCTCACTAAAAAGACAGCTCGCCTTCTCGACCACCTCATTAGTGTGATGGCACAATTTCATTTTAAGCAGCGCTTGTTTTTAATGAATGATGTCCCCTTAATCATCTAATGAAGCTATTCTATAATTTTAAAGCTATTCGCAGCTTCGGGGCTTTTATGTAATTTATTTATAGTTTGACGTTTTATTGTGCCGGTCGAGGGAAAGGTGTCAGCGGTTGATTTCATGATGCCACTTCGAGGGTCTCATAAGTCAGAAGGCTCTAATTTTTTTTTTTTTTTTTTTTAAGTTTCCTGCTTCACGTAAAGGATCTATTGCTCGGAGTGAAGAAAGTTTAGGACAGGCCGCGCGCACAGGCTCGTAAATTCAAGCACCCGTCTCTCCTTGACATCCACGGGGAGATTAAGGTGGTGGAGAAAGTCTGCTCCAGTGATGGTGCTGCTCACGTCTGCGACCTGGTATACCCAAAGACTCACTCGTCGGAGGCCGAGATTAAGGGTGATGTGCCGTTCCTGGTATACGGAGATCCACGAAGAGTTCACCGGCTGAATGAGGTAGATGGGTGTCAGGGATCGATCTGCTCGTGTTGCTGTAATTTATGGCGCACCGTGCATTCAAGAGGGCGCCCATCAAACCACTCTGGCATAGTTGCCGCGAGGCAGCTATGCAGTTGCCTCACCTCAGACACGATCGTATGGTCGTGTCGCCGCGGGGTCGATCGGGATCTCGAATTCAGCTCCCGACGTGCCGCTTTCTCTCCTAGCCACTGTATGGCGCTGCAGGCGCCCCATGGCGGGCGAGGAGAAACCTCCTCGCCCATCGATATAGATATACTCGGCGGACCAGGGGGCGAAGAGCCTCTTATAGCTACGGACACTACCGAGCCCAGGCAAGTGTGTGGCGACCGGATCTAGGGTAATCGCGGGGCACGAGGTCTGGGGACCCCCCTTGTGTTTAGCTTTGGGTTTAACGTGCGTTTGTAAATATTTGTGTAATGTCGCCTGTATTTGTAGTTAATATTGAGTGTTTTGTAGCGTTGTGTTTTATATACCAATAAACGCGGAGCGGAATCCCGCTCCCGTGAAAGCACCAGGCTGGACTCGGGCTGTAGACGGACCACGTGGGAAATGGCGAATCGCCGGTAGTACACGAATTCCTACAAATTGCACTTTTCCCGGCCCTGTATGGACGAGATAACGAGTTTTGGTGGTCTTGTTCTTGGCGTAAAACATGCTACTTCCTGGCAGGCTCTGACCACTCGTCGCGTCTGCCCGGTTTCTTTACCAGGAACAGGGGAAAAGGCAGTGCCGCGCGTCGGAACCAAAACGGCGATGATAATGACAGATGTCTAATTGACTTGTCTTGCGCGAGTGGTCAGCATTCCTCCAGTGAGATGCTGAACTTCCGTATCCTCTTTCAGTACGTGGACGATCTCGCCGGCGCCTTGCTGCGACGACAATCTGTTCCAACCGCAGACATAGCTTCTGTAATTCGCCGGCAGGCGAAGGAAGTTGTGGTGTGGTAGCTACCACTACGCTTAGGTTTTTTGTCACGTTATGTGTCGCTGATGCAAGTTCGGCGGCGGATGGCGTTGTAACTTAAGTGGCGGCGACTGCCAGGGTTGCAAGGCGTTTGAGGCCAGGAGCTGTTGCAGTGGCCAATGCCATTTGGACGTTGGCGGGGAGAGGCTGCAGAAAATGCTCTCAGTGGAGCGTCGTCAAAGGTGTTGGTGCGATTTCTAATGAGTGGCGTCATCCGTCTCAGCAGCTTGTATGGACAAGTAAATTCATGATATAGGCAGACAGGCACCATGACAAAATTCCTCTCGAGCGCCTGAAACCTTCCTTTTTCAAGAATTCACCTGTGAGCATTTCAAGGTTTGTGACAAAACATTCCACAGAGATGAAGGAGAAGCTTCCAGTGCGTATTTTTTGGCACCACGGACACTAAAACTCTTCTACTTCTCTACCATTTTTATTTGTATCGAACTCAAAATATTTTTTTTTTCAAACGCTTTGTAGCGTCCGTCGCCAAGGGGGGGGGGGGGGGGGGGGAGGGGGGGGGGGGAGGGGGGGGGGGATATTTGTGTGGCACGCCTCACCTCTCAGACACGTAGATCTCAAAAATAAAATGGCGTGAAAAAGCGCAACACACGAACCTTGTGGAGCTCGCGGTGAGGAACGCTGAGAACTTCCATGGCAAACAGACGATGGTAATTCCTTATCTCCTCGATTCGATTATTTGGAGTAGCACTTTGTCCTTTCTCCACAAGAGCAACGAATTTCGCCCGGCGTCGTTAGCTCTTTTATACACTCTAAAAAATTCGTTCTTGACAGGGTCTGCGATGCCCCAAGAACTCTTTCAGCTCGTGAAGAACGGGAACTTAAAGGATTGTCTGGTGATATCAGGAGGTTACCAAGTTGTTGCGCTGGTCTCATAGGGAGGGCCTAAATATAGTCATATGTAATATTTATTTTAATAAAAGGCGCCCCAACATTCTATAGCGTTCGCTGCAATATATCGTAAACATCAATACGAAACTTCACGCCGAATTCGGCAAGTATGCATGGCTGATCGTGTCGCGACGTCACATCAGACGTGGTACCGCCAAAGTCGCGGACTTAGGCTTATTCCCGGTTTTGCTCAACATGGTTGATGGTGCGTACAAAGATCATCAAGAAAGAGTTTAGCTTCCGACAATTCCGTTATTCTTTTCCTGCTTAGAATGAAGTTATTTTGCTAGGGCAGCTCTCAAGAACTGAGGTGGCACTCTTTTTCTGGTGTTAGGTCAGAGCTTCCGCTGTTGCCAACGAAAACGCTGTGTGTTTTGCAAGTGCAATCTAAGCAGTTGGGCTCAGTTTAAGATGTAATTCCTTCTGCGGCGGGGGATTAAAAATAAGGATGGTGTGCGGACGATATTCCTAAAATCAATGGCAAAATAATTTAATTGTTTTTTGAAAGACAAAATACTTCCGGACAATCCCTTTAAAAGAGCCCCTTATAGGGTTTTCGTAAAGATCCTTTTTAAGGGGTGCTTAATACCCGTGTCCCACTAGAGCGACATACAGAAACCAAAGACAAAGACAAGCCTCAAACCAGAGTCTTCCGCGATTTGAGACGCTTTGTAGAGTAACGGAGGCTATGCTCAAACACGAGCATCATGCACGCGAGGGTATCTTTGGCAGGCTTGCAATCGCTCGTGCTTATTTCTCGAGCACCGAATGACTGAACGCCTGCCAAAGGTACCATCACATGCTGCATGGGTTTGAGGCTTGTCGCTCTCTTTTGTCTCTGTCTGTCGCTCTAGTGGGACACGGGCATAAAAGAACCTTTTCGGGTGCAAAATATGGATAAGCCGAAGAACTGCTAAGATTTGACTTAAGACCAGATATTCCTTAGAGTGTAGCTTCCTTATTGCATTGCGTGCATCTTCCGAAGTGGTGGCAATTCGCCACGCGCAAAGCAAACGTGCTGCCGGGTGAAGTTTCACGATTCTTCGGCTTATATTCCCTCCATGGAGTTCAGCATTACTAACACAGAATCGGTATCTTATTTCTTAGATGGTTCCTAGCATTGAGAAATTGAAAGGAGCGACCAGATGGGAAGAGGACCATTGAGCAAACATCAGAATAACACTCAAAATACACGCGGTGATCATTCTTTCTTTGAAATTCGGAAGAATAATACAGCCATTCCGATTTGATCTCGGATCTTAAAGGGAAGGCCTCCCGCTCTGACATACCAATTCTCCGTTCTTCAACTTCGAATACGTAACGGGCGTAACCTATTCCGCCCTTACGTCAGTGGGCTAAATTGAGGAATTCTATTCTCAGACGGAATCTGCGTGCGTCTTGGTATCAATGTTTGCGAAAGTACGTCTCTGACGGCGTGACCCCCGACCCCCGCACCGGGCTCCGCTTTCATACTGCGTCCATCTTGCGCAACCAGAAACAAAAGTCATTACAAGTATTTCACCGCGCACGTGCGATCGACGTTTGTTCAGTTTCGCAATGGACCTGAAAACCGCGCGTCCTTCTTTTTTTTTTGCCCTCTCCGGCAAAACGACACGCGCGTTTTGTTTCTGCGCGCGGCGTCGCTCCGTTGCGAAAACGCCACACACGTCACACGCCCCGGACGTGCGCACTCAAAAAACGTGACTGAAGCGGTCCGGTGTGGCTACGGCTTCGGCTCTGGCTTCAGCGTGTTTCGTTTTTGCCGGGCAACTTCCACATAATCCTAAACTAAGGGCCGCTAGCACCTCCGTTCGCGCTCCTCCGCGTGCTCCAACGTTGCGGGAGGCTGCTGCACCGGGGTGGAAGGCGAGCTGCAGCAAGCCGGTGGAAAGGACGAAATCAGACTTGGACAAACGCAAGAAAAGACCCCGCGCTCCCAGGAGGCCCCTGTGCCGGGATTTCGCGCTTCCGACTCGCTTGTCCTCTGAGCGGTACACGCTGTCACAAACAGATCGGTGCTTGCATTGCAAGCAACAACAGGGACCTTGGGAAGGAAACATACAAAAACAAAAGAGAGAAATGGGAAAAGCAAAAGCAGTGGGGTAAACAAACGGCCGGGGAGGCTTCCCGCCTCCTTTCTCTCTGACCTTTCGCACTTGCATCAAGACGTATAAAGTGAGGCCGGGTGAAAGCGAGCGAAAAGGAGGGTGTGCTGTGCCCGTGCACAGCCTGGGAAGCTGGT